TTGGTTGTTTTGTTGTTTGAACTCGATTGTTGATTCAATTGTTGAATGAAATCAGTTGGTTAGATGTGGTGCGGTTGAAGGAAGGTTGGCTTGGCGTTGATTTGGATGTAATGTGTTCTTCTTCTTTGTTTCGTTTAATTGGATTGAAGTTGATTAGGCTGAATTTGCTTTGTTTTTTGGATTGGACTTGATTGGATATGACTGGATTAGATTGAACCGGACTGGATTTGTTGATAGCTAAGGGAAAAGTAACAAAGACATGTACCACAAGCGCGTCAAATACAATATGTGTTTCTTTTCCCAATCAAACCTGCATTCAACTCTCTTTCCCTCTCTCTAAGTTCAATAGTGTCATATTTCAATCAAACTGAGCCCAACCAAAGACAATATTTCAAAAACAAATCCGACCCAGTGCAGCTCAAGAAATCCAATCCAATCAAATCCAACCCAATCAAGAGAGCCCAAAACCAATACGAAGGATATCGAAATCCAGTCAGTGCCATGCCATGTGTATTAATTAATGATGATCCAATGGTCTGATTTGGTTGGAGCGTAGATTTTAACTTAGGGTTTCCTGGGTTTGATTAGAGTTTATGGCCGCATCTAATTCTTGATTTGAATTCCTGTTTCTTAACCGTTATTGATCGTTTTTTGTATATTGCTAGTGGCAGTGAACCAATTCTATCCTTATTTAACCGGTCTTGCCTTCATTCTTATCTGCAAGCGTTCACTTATAATACACTATCTAAAGATATCTAAAGTGAGTTCATGTTTTGAGTGTTCTTCTTGTATAGTTTGGTGTGGAACTAAAACACAAAAAGGCACCAAAAGCAACCGCGCAAAAAATACATTTTCTGACATCCCCGACAGTTCATGCAATTTTGAACGCACTTTTCTGATTTCCAAAATCATAACATTATGAGTACATTAAATTATGAACTTATGCTCTCTTAAAAACCGGGATATTACAAGCTAAAAGGCTTCATATATTAAAGATATGGCTTCTTTATATGTACAGTAGAGAAATCCAATATGAAACCATAAATTGAGTATATAGTTCGATTGAAATATTAAATCTACTATTTTGATTAGTATTAAATACATTTTTGTATATTTTTATGAGTTTATAAAACTGTATGCATTCATAAAACATACTTATATTTTTGGGTGTAATCAAAATATTTTTTGTTTTATTTATGAGTTCAGGGAGTCAGAGAACTTCAGACAATTAATGAACTCATTTTAACAAATTTAATCAGTTCAAACATTTTATAATGAACTACACTCAAACACAGAAGACTACCCAGAGCAGCTCATGTAAGACAAGTGAAAGATTTCAGACAAATGCACTTTTTACTCCTTCAACATTTTGTACGCAGTCAATAAGAGCAGCTCATGGAAGACAATTTAAATATTTCAAACAGATGCATCTTTTAAAACATTTTATATATTTCAGGGGGCAGTCAATACTATGTTTTAAAAAAGTAAAGCAAAGTTGAGCATTCATTCATTGAAGACGCGCTGGAAAAAAAAAGTCTCATAGAATAGACAGCAGCACTGTGAGCGTATGCATTTCATGTGGCAAAGTTTCTCTACTGGACACCTAAAAATAGCGGATTTTACTGGAAAATACACACGCTCACAGCGCTGCCCTCGCAAATTCAACTTTGATACCTCCAACACGCACAAAGTACTGCGCATGCCACGAGAAGTGACGGTATGACATGTTCAATCACGCTCATGTCTATTCATGTCTTCAGCAAAATTTGCACCACGCCACACGCTTGGAATGATTCCAACACGTTCTGAGCACGCAAAATCGGACTTGTCACAAAGCACAGCTTCGAGCACAGCCACATCCAACGTTACATTTCCGATAATTCCACACGACCCCTCGCTATTTCACACGAATCCGACACGTCATGCTTCGCCCTACCGCGAACGCTTGTGATTGGTTGCGGTCGCTACGACAAGGAGTCGCGAACAAGAGCTTACCCCCGGACCCCCAGAGTTAAACGAAAATCCTTCACTACGCCCTCAGGAAAAAAAGGATCGAACAAAATGTTTCAAGGTCCACAACAAAACACACCATAAACGCAAACAGCAATAAAAAGCAATTATTAAATCCGATTGATTATTCGAGTCATAACAATTCACGTATGCTCTTGTTGTTTTTAATGTTCGAATTAATTGAGGATCAAGTCGGAGACTGAACCGTGAGCCGCGATAGTTCCTCTCTGACAGGAGGTTGCGTGCGTGGCAGTCAGCAACGATGGCCTGGCCTTGCCACATTGCCATTGGTTACTGCGAGCTGACCCCGATGTCGTCCTTTGTGCAGTGAAGAGCCCCTCGGTTTGTGTTGAATTTTTAGATGAGTTTCGGCTTGTACCAAGAGTCAGATATTGTTCAAAGAACCAGAAAAACAACAACCCAACTTACATGTGTAACATGCAAACACGACACACACACACACACTGCCCATACACTGCGCAACAAAATTGAAAAAAAACAACAACCTCACGCACAAATTTTTAGGTGACAAACGCTGGCCAAAACAAGGTGCTCAGCGCGTGGTTGAACGCAACTGCACTGCAGAGTTGCCACACCACGTGCCAAGGGCCTCGGCTCTTGAATTTACATCTTATTAAACACATTAAAAAACATGGACGAATAAAGTGACTTCTCGAACGACAGATCTTGGAGACTTGCTGCTGCTGTAATTAAGTCCACTGCTATGCCTTTCTGGGTGTTGCTTTCTGGTCGGCTTTGATGGTGTTTGAGGCCACGGTTCTGCGTTGTCCTACGCCGACCCGAAGCTTCGCGGGGAGCCGGCTGTGGCCTGCGCAGCCGTGGCCGCACGTGGGGAGGCTTTGCGCTACGTTGCGCCAGAGCTGCTGAAGGATCGACGCCTGGTGCTCTTGGCAGCCAGGAGAAGAAGTGCGCAAACAGAGATGAACAAGCTGTTTTAAAAACACAGAAGACAATTGCTTATCTTCAACGACTCATGTAAGACACCTCGAACGTGGCAGCCAGAGAGAGGACGTGGAGTGGCGCGTTGTCTCTTGCCGCGCCCGAATTGCGGGCAGATCAGGAGATGTGGACGTTGCCGGTGGAAAGTTGCTCAAACGATACAAACTCAATTGTTTGCTATATGTTGCCATGAATCAATTGTGGCACTTGCAATCGTTGCTGACATGACCGGAGATTACCGAGAAGGTGCAGCGCTATTTTGAGGACTTCGTTTGTTGCGCTATGCAGATGCACTTCTCAAAGACACATGGAGTGGCGCCCACTGATGAAGGTGCGCGCAAGAACAAAAGAAGTGGGTGAGCCGCTGGGAGAAAGAATGCTTGTCTGAAGAATCATGTTGCGTAAAGGTTTAGTATCATTCACTAAGCCCTGCCTAGTTGCATGTGGCAATAAGAAAGCATTCTTGCTGCAAGTTATACCACCTGTTGATCGGTGAATCGTGCGAACCCCACACACTTGATCACATGTTTGTTTTGACTTTGGCGCAGATTGGAGTGGATTGAGCCTTTGAGATCTTGTACACAGGCGCTGGCATTTGCTGTGTAGAAGACGTGACCACACGCGTGCACTCACCAACATCGAAGCGGAGAGAGAGTCTTTTTAAGAGGGATTCCCATCAAGATCAATTCCAGATTGGACAGATCAAAACCGCCGCTTTGAGCCAATCGAAGGCTGGATGAGATTGTTTGTTTGATCCTTTTTGTAGGTAAGCAAATCGCGGAAGTGAAGGGCCAAAGTTAGCACTATCCCGATTGCTTAGCGTGTCAATTGCAAGAACCTCTTCATTTTTGTTTGCCTTGTGCCTCAAAGCCATCGCATCAACAAGGATACGGTATGAACATTTGCACAGGTGGAGCACCAACCTAAGAAGGGAACAACTTGATTTTCTGGTTTCTGAGATCCCAAAATCACCATGTGTTCTATCCTTGCGACTGAGCGACCAATTGCATTGTTGGGATACAATTAGAATGGTGTGGTTTGTATTCTTGTGGCTCATCCATCTTGCAATTGCGCGCTTTCACTGGGCTTTGTCGAAACTGGCGCTGCCTCATCATTCTTCTCATCAAAAAAGGGGTCCACTCCAAATTCTTGCACACAACATGAATCACGGATTGAAATAAACTATATACAATTGAATGGGTGATTCGGCCTCCTAGTTCCTGTGAAACACTCAGTGCATTGTCCTACCGTAGGTCTACCGTAGGACTTAATTAGTGGCCGGATGTCCTTGGCGAAGAGACTCAAGATAGATGTGCTGCATCTCAAGATCGCTTGGACTCTGTCCGGATCTCACATGTTGGCTCAAGGTGAGATGATTCGTCCCGACTTGTTTGAAGGGGACACTTCCAAAGTTGAAGACTCCACAGACGAGTGAGCTGTCGTTGATCGCTCTGGTGCTTGACCATCATGGCGCCAGAGCTGGAAGCTGCACAGAACCCAGTCGATCCACCAAGAAACTTTGAAGCCGGAGTCTGGAGTTTATCTCGTGTGCTGAGGATATCACCAACAGCCTTTTCGAGGACTGCCTTCCCTTTGTGGGGCAAGTTTAGGTATGTGGAGAAAGCAGTGTTTGTTTGGACACCTGGAACCAGGATGCTCGAACATTGTCGCAGATGAAGCGAAGCCGCATCGATTTGAACCGAAGGCCTAGTTGGATCCATCCAGCTGCTCCTAGTTGGATCCGTCCAGCTGTACACGTCCGTATTTTTCGACAAAACGACAGGTATGTCTTCCTGTGTCCCACTGCTCTCAGCAAGCACTTCGAGGCTGGTTCAAAGAAGTGAAGACAGACGGGCCGCTAGAGAAGAAAGAAAAGGACGAAAGGTCTAATGGACGCTACGTTCGGGGCTCCTGGCCTTACTAGGAACAAGAAGCTACTAGGAGCAAGGGCATCGCTACCAGTAGCAAGAAGCTACTAGGTGAGGCCATTGCTGCTGGTAGCAAGGACGCTATAAAAACAAAAGTGTCAGGCCTTACCATTGCCGGCCAAAGAGGCGGCCCTCTTGGTCTTCCGTTGCAACCGGAATTTCGCTCCTTGGCAGGAACTGACAGGAACAGCGGAACTGTAGTGTGCTGTATAGCCTAATCAGTTGTATCCTTGCGAAGTGAGGAAACGTTGAGCTCTTGCTTTCCCAATTTCAATTGGACCTTCGGAGGTGTTCAAAGATCCGCCCGCGGTCACGATCTTAGTGTTTCACCTTCAGCACCTCATGCCTGCATCCCAAGTCCCAAGCACTCATTCCATTTTGTTGTTGCTGTTATGGTTGTTGATTCTGCTTGAGATCTCAAACCAGAATTCACGTTGGCAAGACATACAGACAGACTGGTGGCAGGGATCAGATTCGGAGTTTGTTATGAAGTACTTCAAGAATGTGAAATACATGCGCTTCCGTTCAGGTACGAAAATCGCGACTGCAAGCGCGTGTGGAGTGCGGAAATACTACCGCGAACCCCTTATGTGACAATGGCCAGAAACTTCTGGGCCGTGGGCCGGGCGTCAAAATGAACCTCCACACACAAATGAAAAGGATTAAGAAAGCAAGCATAGTATTCATAGAATTCTGGCTCCCCTGGTTGGAGTGCGCTTGCTCAGTTCGAAGGTCAAGCACTCTGCCCCGGTGAAGCCGGGTCTCCGCGCGCTGGGGCACCAGAGCTCAACAGCTGCTTAAGACTGAACATAATAGTTGTGTTGTGTGCTCATAGTCTCACTAGCATTCTTGCTTGAAGGGGCGTGTCTTTGTTGCTTTGGTCCGCCGGTTCGACAACAAGATTTTGAGTGTGCAGCATGGTTGAGGCTCTACAAGTCTGAGTTCTCAGATGGATTTCTGCAGTGGGCCGGGAGACTTGAAGCTTTCCTTACTGAAACTTTCTAAACGTTTGTTTCTTGAAAGAAACAACCTAATCCCATGCCACTACGCTGAAGTTGCATACCCGATCAGGGCAACCTGGCGCTAAGTATGTAGCAAGAATGCTGAGGTCCTTAGCAAAGAGAAGGAGGGCTGTGTGTTTTGGTTTAAGCCCGGACGAGTTGGAGCCCCAGTTGCATCCGAATACATTGCGACCTCAGTTCTTCTGAAACGATGGAGCGACTTTGGCTTGGAGAATCCATGAGATTTCAGGAGCCCCTAGTAGCTTCTTGTTCCTGGATTCCTAGTAGTAAGTC